AAAGCATTTCTCTTCAACGTGGAAGAGAGGTTTTTCCACTGTTAAGCCTATTTAATACAAATATCTTGTCACATAAAAGTTAAGTGCCGAAGTGGCTGTGTGCCTGACTTCTGCATGTCTCAAGAACAAACTCAGAATCATGTTTTGGCCACAGGCCAAATGTAGATCCAATTCCATGGGTAAATACTTACCTTAAAGGGGTCAATAGTGGGAGGGTCAACAGTGGGAGGGCTTCTGGTGTCCTGGCCCCACTGGTGGACCTCCTGATGGCACCTGGTATTTCCGGCCACTGTGTGACACAGAGTGTTGGACTGGATGGGCCTTTGGCCTGATCCAACATTGGTGTCTCTTATGTTATGTTCTTATTTGAAATATTTATATGCCTGCCTTTCTCCTGACCAACTCAGGATCCAAACCCAATGACAATAATATAAAATACAATAAAAATATGCACAGTCAAACATTCCAAAAATAAACATAAAACACATTAAAAGCGCTAATCTTAACATACCTTATGGAGAGCTAAAGAGATCCAGTTTACCATACTCAGACTGCCCCAGATGCTCTCTGGCATAATTGTTTTACAGCCTCACTGGAAAGCCAGGACATTTTCCCACAAGCATGAGGCAGTTGCCTGGGCTGTTGCAGTGCAGAATATGCTTACACAAAGGAGGCATTGACAATAGCACTCTCTGAACAAACAAGGCGAGCTGCATGGGAAGATGCAGGAAGGTTCTTCAAGAATGTGAGACCCAAAGGCTGGTACCAGCACCTTGAACTAGACCCCAAAACAAATAAGACTAACTTTATTCAGCAAGCTCCAGGTTATTTAGTGTAAGGCCAGAAACACAAGCCATAGTATACCTTGACTGGATGCAAATTTGTAGTTGTGATGATCTTATGCAGAGGCCCAGCTAACTTAACTGGAAGTTTTGGTTCTTTATCTAGTCCCTGTGGTTTTGTGTAGTAGTCTAGCCTTTCTCGAGAAAAGAAGTTGTTGATAACAGTTACACAATCATGCTGACCTTAAAAACAAAACAAAACACAGAATTACACATCTTCAGGAAGAAAAAAAGTCAACAAATCAACACCTGAAGCCAATCATGCAGAAGTTATGGAGGTTAATTGTTGGCCAAAGAACCCTAAAAAATCATTATACACTTTTAGTGTCAAGGCCAAGCCATGATAAGAGCTAGAATCGTGAACTTTACGACGAAGGCACAAAACATGTTCTATGCAAAGGTCAAATTATACGAAAGTCAAATTAAAGTAGGGAGGCTACTGCAGTTTCAGTGTAATAAATGTAGAACTAAAACACATGGTCAACTGTGACAAAATATAAAGACAGTATTTCAATATTAACTAGTGATCTGTGGTTCTGTGGGGCCATTTAAACATTTTAAAAAGCTACTTCTATGGGGTTACAACTTGTATAAGAGGACACAATACTAACCTCTTACTGTTTCTAAGAATTATAGGATATGGCCTAGAATTAAACTAAAAATTCTATTACAATGATCCTGCACAGTTCCTTTCAAGGAAAACAATTACAGATAATTTATCTGCAGTTCCAGAGCAGGCTAAATAGCTTACTGGTTACTGTTCTATGCCCCATTAAAAAGGAAAAGCAAATAGGAGGCATAGAGCATGAGATAGTGCATTTATAATAACACACATCAGTAATTACAAACCCGCCATTTTAAGCTTATGGTATATCCTTTGTATATTTTCAAAGTTGCATGCTTATATCACACAGTGCACAGGGTTGTTTTTTTACTGTAGTATTTAGAGCTAACAGAACTCTTTAAGGTCATAAGACACAATGCTTAAATTAGGTACAAATATCTCTCAGCATGAAATTGACTTATATTTCAGGGTTTTAAAGGCTTAAGTTCTTTTTGCTCAATGAACCAATTCAATCTAAGAAACAAGGAAAGTGCCACATTGCGCTGGTAACCAATCAAGGATGTCATGCCTTTTGGAAGATACTTTGGTGCCACATATGAAAGTGGCTCACACAAAATCATATAATTATATTTCGTCCAATTTTTAAGTAGATGGTTGGATGCCAGTTTGCTTTGCAGAGAAACTAGCAGCAAAATTCCCTGTTCAGACTGGCAACTGCATCACAAAGAAAGTGACTGAATAGTTTCTCTCAAGGACTACTCAGTATTTAATGGATGTAGGGCATAGGAAGTTTTTAAAGTTAAAAACTAGTTCCTTAAAATCCACTGTAGATGCTGGATCAAATTCTGAGCTATCACTTATGCCCAACTTTTCAAACATTTTCACATATCACACCTAAAGTCTACTAGTAAACAGGAGGATTCAAGTAAACTAGCTGTATTACAGTGACTACTTTAAATCCAAACATGTATAATTAAGTGGAAAGTGGTCAATGCTACATAGATACAATCAAAATTAGGTCAAGCACCATCATCCCATAGCCTCAATGAAAGCTAGGATGTGAGGATGCTCCATTTACCTACAAAGGCAGCCATCTGAGCAGCAGTCCTTCCCACAGAGTTGACAACACCTGTGTCTGCTCCAGCCTCTAGCATCATCCAGGTAATTTCTTTGTTGCCTAATGTGAGAAAGAAGAAAGTTTACATTTCTAGAAGTCTATACAGAAAATTGTTGCCTAAAGTATAGTTTGGTTGGGGGGGGGGGTTATATATTTTTTTAAAAAAGAACTTTAAAGTGGAAGAGAGTCTGATACATGTCTTAAATAAATAAAAACCTTGCACACCTTTATTAAAAGCAGCTTGGGTTGCTCTCACTGAAGATTAAGTGGCAATTCTTTAGAATCAAAGATTTACTCTTGCCAGGTTCAGCCCTGCCATCCGTCAGCAAAATCCATTCCCATCAAGTGCTTGTAGCTATCTAGTCTACTCCCAGTGGGCACCTTTAGATTACCAAATTGATTGATTGATCAAGTTGAATAGTACTTTCTGACTTTTAGGAGAAAACAGTGCTGTATTTTCCCAAAAGAAAACAGGAATTCAAGTGATACACACTAGGACCAAAAACCCCAACTTCTAATATAGGCTAATAGGGTCTGAACATGCTGAGACCGAGAAAGGAAAAGATCTTAGGGCCGTAGGGGATAGCTGAATGAAAGTGTCAACCCAATGTGCTGCAGCAGTGAAAAATGCAAACTCTCTGTTAGGGATTATTAGGAAAGGGATTGAGAATAAAACAGCCAATATTGTAATGTCTCTATATAGCTCTATGGTGCAGCCTCATTTGGAATAACATGTATAATTCTGGTTACCATATCTCAAAAAGGAGATTGCAGGGCTGGAAAAAGTACAGAGGAGGGTGACCAAGATGATTAAGGGATTGGAGCACATTTCCTATGAGGAAAGGCTGAAGAGTCTGGTACTTCTCAGTTTAGAAAAAAGACACGATAGAAGTTGATAAAATCATGCATGGGGTGGACAGAATTAATAAAGAGAAATTTTCTCCATCTCCAAAAATACTAAAATTTGAGGGCATCCAATTCAGCTGATGGGCAGTCTGTTCAGGACGTTCAAAAAGAACTACTATGCTATACAGTAGAATAGACAGCTTTAAAGGGGGATTAGATAGACCTATCTTCTGTGAATCTATCAATGGCTACTAGCCATGGTGACTGAGGGGAACTTCCACATTCAGAAGAGCCAGGAGGCAACATCAGGGGAAGGCCTCTTAGCCCTGTTATTGACCGTGCAAAGGAACTGGTTGGCCACTCTGTGAGACAGGATGCTGGACTACTGGTCCAGCAGGGCTCTTCTTATGTTATAAAATAAAGAAGCTACAAATTAGTATTTCCACAGCAAGATGGGATTTTTTCTTTTGAGGGTCAGAGAACAAAGTTTTTTAAAGCTGTGTATTAATGTATCAATAAGAGTTAACACACACACAAAAAGAAAATATGCTGATACGACTATGGGCCTCAGTTTGAAGCAATTCTACTCATATAGTGGCATCTCTTAACCCCCAAACCACTGTATTCAGATATGAATTTAATTTTAAGTTTATTTATTTATAAAATTTAAGTTTAAATGGGCATCAGAATAATCTCATGGACCTGGAAAATATGGGTTCAACTCACGTGTAAGGGCCTAATTACGTTACATTTCCTCTCAGTCTGCACTATCAGATCTGTGCCTGGAGCTCAATTATAGGAGCTCAGTTCCAATGCAAATGTGGGCCTGATTCATATTGAGACTATGGGGGCTTCAATCACTTCCTGCAGATGGACATAAATAAATATTGATTCTGAAACAAGTTACTTTAGATCCTCCTCCCCAACATACTGGATTTGTAGAAGTTAAACAGTTGGTCCCCCACCTTCATTCCAAAGTAGTACAGTCATGAGCAGATGTATATCACATGGGAATGCTAATTATCTACTTGGATCTTTTTTGGGGGGGATTTATTAGAGATGTTTTATGCAAGACATGTAACCCAGGAAAGAGGCACACCCTTTCTATTAGTCAAAATCTGGACCAGCATGTTAAGAAATAAAGATACAATCAAATGAATCTGAGCCAGAAAAATAATTTAATTCTGAATACCAGCTGCTCTGATTACTCTGCTACTTGGCGCTCTAGAACAAGATAGTAACAAGATGTCTACATCTCATGTATCTGATGCAATTCTTGTGCCAAATAATGAAATAAATTATTGCTACAAAATGTCACTCTGAGCGATCAACTTCTAGTGCAGAACACAATGACTCTCTTAACGTTTCTGTACTGTGGTTCATGATCTTACAGTCTTATTGTGGAAAAACACCTGGACAACATCCAATCCTCCCTCCTCACTCCCACAAGATGTTTCATGTATTAATAAATATTGTTTATCATTTGTCTGTCATCCCTGCACCTTTGACATAATAAACTGTCCTTTTGCTAGAGAAAGACATTTACCAGACCCTGGAATCCAAAGCAATTTAAATTTTTTTACCCTGTAAGGAAATATTGAAGCTAAGCCCTGAGATCTCCCCACCCAGACAGCTAATATTACGTAGACAGATAATATTTTATTTTGGCCTAAGAAAAGTTTTGTTAACTTGCATCAAAATAATAACATTCGCATATAAACACTCTATATCTCTACCCTTCATTCAAAGAATTTAAGGCAACACATGTTGTTCTTCCCTGTCCATTTATTCTCATGACAACCCTGCAAGGCAGTTTAGGCTAGCAGGAAAAGTCACCCACTAAGTTTTGTGGAGAATGAAGATCTGAACCTAGATATCTCAGCATGCTTCCAGCACCACACTGGCTAATAATATCTGGTGTGAAATGAACAGCCTCTCATTACATGGGGTAGCTTGTTCCAGTACCAAAGTCACATGATATTGATACTCAGTTTTGCATTTCCCTCAATAAAACATTAATATGCTAATTAGTTCCTAGCCTACAGCAATTTTGTTCGTTTTTCAAAGAAATAAACAAAAGCAGAATTCATCTTACAGATGCCTCCTGCACAGTGCAAACTTGTACTGCACTGACTTACTTGTCTGAATAGGACCTTTCTTTCATCTGGTCTCAAAACATTGTACATCATGACTGATGTTCCTGTCACCCACTTGCCCACCATTACATGTCTCCTTTCACCATCTCCAAGAACCAGGCAAATGTAAAGAAAGCCATTTCATACAATTTGCCATTAGAAGATCCTTCAAGTTATCCCCGAGACATTTCTGGCAAGATATATTTCTCCAAATAAGCAAGATACCTGCTTCAGCTTTATTAGACCACAAAAGGAAGGTTTTCCAAACCTGGGAAGTAGTCATCACCACCAAGAACACATATTTGGTGTCCTATTACAAGCCACTCCCCACCAACAGGGGCAGTTGCTGCAGAACTGAGAGCGATTATCCAAAGTAACCGAATCTCCAGTAACCCTCCACATCAGCAGACTGAAAATAATATATTTGAACAAGGCTCAGACAACCACAGCCCATGCTCAGAACTGGCATCAAGCCAACAATTGTGAAGCTACACCCAGCAAGAGCAATTTGGCTGTGTGGGAACCTTTGCCCAAAGAGTATAAGACCCTCCAGGATATCCAAAGGAAGAAAGCATACCTGAAAGCCCAGCAAACATCAAGGCAGTATATCCCTGCTCATGTTCATTGCAGTTTACATCAGCACCGTGTCGCAACAACAATTTGCACATGTCAACCTTCCCTTTGTATGCTGCATGCATCAGAGGGGTCATACCATGCTAATAAGAGAGGGAAAAATAAATACAAAAGTTTTAAACATATCTTTGTATTCTCCTCTACCGGTGTTTAAATGCCAGTGCACAAAGCTGATCTGCTACATGGGTTGATGCAAGAAAAGCAACCGTGACAAACTGCTGAAATAAAAAGGCTATACGCCTAGCAAACTAATGTTATGTCCTTTTTGTTACACTGGGTCATGAAAATGCTTTTAAGTATGTCCTCTCTATATAATTAAGCTTTTAAAAACCAAGTTGTTTCTTCCCATTTATCGAAAGATACCTTTGTACATATTCAATTTTAATGATATTATGTGTTCCCCCCCCCCATGCCCCAATTTGCTTACTCAATTGGGAATACTGTTGGGTATTTAAAATGAGACTTCTCATAGTGATCACTTGTTTGAAGTAGTCAGTCAGGAACTATGGCCTCTTTTTTGCTTTTCAAAACATGGTAACCCAAGCTCTGTCTTGAGCTATGACCAAACCTACACACTGTAATACTTAACTAGGTATAATTAAACATTATTTAACCACAACCAAGTAAACCATCCACAGAAATCAGAGTGATAAAATTCAAACTCCCCTTTAAAAGTCAAGGAGCTGATCACTTCTATCTGATCACAAAGAAAAATGATGCTAAAGACACTCAAAGACAAAGTGGGTACTGGATACCATTGTGAAGTGTAATAAGGAAGTCATGATACAGGTTTATGGGCATCAACATTACTAGCTTTAGCAGTTGGCTGTAGCAGCTGTAAGTGCTACTGCTTTTTACTCATGATGAAGGAGGAGGAGGAGACTGGATTTATACCCCGCCCTTCACTTGGAGTCTCAGAGCGGCTTACAAACTCCTTTCTCTTCCCCCTCCCCACAACAGACACCCTGTAAGGTAGGTGGGGCTGAGAGAGCTCTGACAGAAACTGCTCTTTTCAAGAACACCTCTGACAACTATGGCTTGCCCAAGGTCATCCAGCAGCTATGAGTAGAGGAGTGGGGAATCAAACCCAGTTCTCCCAGATTAGAGTCCGCACACTTAACCACTACACCAAACTACACCAAATTGCCCATATTATGATGTGTAGGCTGTATGTGTGTGAGGAAGGCATCTGAAAAGCACAGAATACTTCTATAAGAACATAAGAACGTAAGAGAAGCCAATGCTGGATCAGGCCAATGGCCCATCCAGTCCAACACTCTGTCACACAGTGGCCAAAAATACCAGGCGTCACCAGGAGGTCCACCAGGGGGGGCAGGACATTAGAAGCCCTCCCATTGTTGCCCCCCCAGCACCAAGAATACAGTGCATCACTTGCCCCAGACTGAGAGTTCCTATCTACCTTGTGGCTAAAACCCTGATGGACCTCTGCGCCATATGTTTATCCAGCTCCCTCTTGAAGCCATCCATGCTTGTAGCCGCCAACACCTCCTGTGGCAGTGAATTCCATGTGTTAATCACTCTTTGGGTGAAGAAGTACTTCCTTTTATCTGTTTTAACCCGACTGCTCAGCAATTTCATTGAGTACCCACGAGTTCTTGTATTGTGAGAAAGGGAGAAAAATACTTCTTTCTCGACCTGCTCTATCCCATGTATAATCTTATAAACCTCGATCATGTTATGCCTCAGCCGGCATTTCTCCAAGCTAAAGAGCCCCAAGTGCTTTAACCTTTCTTCATAGGGAAGGTGATCCAACTCACAGATACACTGTGATCCAACTCACAGATACACTGAATGTCAAGAGATAGGCCTTTAAGACATGTATTTGCATAAGTCAGTAAGTTTTAGCTGGATGATGTTATGATAGCAGGTCAGCCAAACACAAACCACATGTTACCAATCATCGGCTGCTGTAACTTAGTGCAGCTGGCTACTGTCAAAAGCTTAGCATGACTAAGAGAAATCTTGACAACCTACAATCTAGATTGCCATGTGCTGACCACTGATTGGTCTGGCAATTAGTTTGACAGCGGAACAACTATTTAGCTGGAAGCTAGGCACAGCAGAAAGAAGGCTACTCGTGGCTTGTTGCCACAAGTCTGTTGCCAGAGCGAGCCGTAAGATAACAACGCTGCATCTGCTCAAGACAATGCTGTAGTGAGAAGCCAGGATATTCATAGGAGAATTCCAAGCACCCTTCCAGGCAGAACATTGGATAAGATGAACGGCGACCTTGGCTTAGGACCCTTAGGCAGGAAGGAGGGACGGCTAATTCCTTGGCACCTGCTCAGCTCCGTGAACTACTGCTGCTTAGAGCTATCTGATTAGGTCAAGAAACTTAGATAGTGAGTTAGGTTTTGTTTGTTTTGTCCTCTGTACACTCCCTTTTCCCCTACTAGTCTGTTTAATCTTTGTATTGCCTTTATAATAAACTTAAGTTGTTTTTATAAATTGGATTGTCACTGACCCATGCACCATGCCTTCGGTACTAATTAGAGCTTAAGAACCACAAGCTGTTATTTTTTCTTTGTCACTACTGTGCTGGTTAGGATGACACTGGTTTAAAGAAATATAGCCTGGAGTCTCTGAGGCAGTCCTGAGAGTGAGAGGTAGCACGGAGACAGAAGGGCGGGGTCATGACATTGAACATTGTGGCAGGACTCCCTTCAGTGAGGCTGGACTATCCAGTGTCAGAGAAGGAAGGCAAGCTTTGTCCTCACAACATTGTCCCCAAATGCAGCCCTTCGAGCATTGATTTCCACACAACTGAGTTCAGAGGGGAATCCTTTCACATCCATATACTGCTTGCATGTCTTCTTCTCTTCCCACAGACACTGTTCCTACTCGGGGCTGTGGTGTGGTACAGAAGGAATTCCAGCTTGCCTCTCCCCCCCAGCCTGTTACCCCAAAGAGAAAAAGTTGGGCGGGGGTTTTATTGTCTCTTCGCAGAACATGACATAGTCTTCCCCCAACAGGCCAAACAGTCTTCCCACAGACAGTTTTAGTTCAGGGGAAAACTGGGGGGGGGGGGGGGGAGCTAGAATTCCTTCTGTACTGTGCTACAGTCTTGATCTAGAGTGAGAAAAGGCATGCTTGGGAAAAGAGCAGATTCTATCAGTCATATATGGGCTCCTCAAGATCTCATACTTTGTGAACTCTCTTGTGGAAATAACCTTAATTCCTTGCATTTATAGTAGTAATCATACATTTAGAAAAGAGAAAGTGCTCCACTTGGAATACTATTGCTTCCTGCCCCTGATGCCACCAGCAATCAAGGATCAGGTTGCTGTGATCTGCATGACATCCAGGGTTCTATTTCTTGGTCAAGCTAAAGGGAACTAGATTATCATTTTCTTTATTGGCCAAAGAGGATGTCCACCATCCAGACATGCTGGCAGCCTGATCTATGTGAAAATTTATGATTTTGCCATGTAGGTTTGCCAACCTCCAGGTGGGGCCTAGAGATCTCCATCTATTACAACTGATCTCTAAACAATAGGTATCAGCCCCCCTGCACAAAATGGCTGCTTTGGAGGGTGGACTCTGAGGCACTGTACACTGCTGAGGCCCCTCCCCTCCCTAAACTGTACCTTCCCCAGGCTCCACCCCCAAAAGCTCCTACCCAGAGCTGGCAACTCTACTGCAATGTGTTTTATACCATTACAAAAGAACTCTTCATATTTGACATTCTAGTATAGTTGTTTCTATTTTAAAAAACAAGCTTTATCATCAGAAAAGTCATCACATCAGTCCTATTTTCTTATATTTCTTTAAGAGTGGGGAAATGTCCTTTTAAACAGCAATTCACATATTTTGTTTATATCATGTATTGTGTATTTAAAAAGCCAACAAGGCTTTGCAATGCATAAATGTACTTAATAATGACAAAAAATTTTTTTTGCTGAAGTTACCTTACATTTTTTTAGTTATTCTACTAGCTTATATGTTGGGCCATAAAAAATATTCTGAATAAATATAAAAATAAAATTAATGAAATTTTATAAGAAGTCTAATTTTAGAGTAATTTTAGCCTGAAATATAATTAAATTGGCCAACAAACCTGATATCAGAGATTTCATTAGTCTGGATGTGTGTCACCTCAAAATAATTTGAAGAATTGGCATGGCTATATTTATGGCCCAACGTATAAACTAGTAGAGTGGGGAATCAAACCTGGTTCTCCCAGATTAGAGTCCGCACACTTAACCACTACACCAAACTGGACAATGATCATTTGAATAATAAGCCTCTGATTGGCCAGATGTAAAGAAACATATATCTACGTCAATCTAAGTAAAACCTAAGTGTTTACTTAACCTAACCTAAATGATAATGGGCAAGGATTCTTCATATCCTAAACAAAAGTATTTTTACTGATACGAGACTAAAATCTTCTCTGACCCAGACATTGCAACGTTTTGCCCTTAAGAACTACAGAATCATGAACTTTCTACCTATTATGTTGTCTGCTAGCAATATCAGACCTACAAGAGGAAAGCCTTCTATATAACAGGCCTTTCTAACATCCTAATAAAATGTTATTTAAGAATAGATCTATAAAAAACAGAGAAATATGAATAATCAAAAAAGGGGAAATCTTTATAGTCCCATCTCTACTACAAAGGTACTTTGTATCTCTCCCATGCGACTTGAGGCAGCTGAGCAAAGCAAGGCAGGAGGAAGGGGAGGAGCGTCAGCCAATGGAGGGGAAGAAAGGTTTGCCTTTGTCTCCTGTGCAATTGAGGCAGCCTGACCAGGAAGCAAGCTGTGGCTTGTTCATTCCCTCCCCCTGGGAGGAGGAGGGGGAAGAGCCTCAGCCACTGTAGGGAACAGAGGCTTGCCTATCTATCTCTCCTGTGCAACTGAGAAAGTCTGGTAAAGCAAACTGAAGTGCAGCAGCAGAACTGGAGAAAGAAGCAGGAGACAGCCAGTTCCTTGCAGGACGGATAGGAGCCCGGACAGTTTGACACCCCTGCTCTAGAGACTACATGGACTGTCCTAGTCAGCACAGAGATTTCTAGTGCAGTTGTTCTTGCAAATTCTTATTCAGGGCACCTCAAAGATGCCTTGACTATCTGAAGAACACATTTGTTCTGTGTTAGCTGGTACAGAAATGCTGTCCTCTCTGAGAAATCTTTTACAAATCTTTTGTTGAAAACACAGAATCAAAGGAATCTGTGCATATCCTCCACTGTTGTTGGAATCTTCCAGTTTTTCATCACATCTAGTTTTTGGGGTTGGGGCTCCAGCCCATTCTCACTAGCAATGTCCCAGGAACATGATGATGATAAAGGCCCTTATTCCCTGCCAGTTTAAATCCAGACTCTGAACAGTTTCAGAATCCTTTCCAAAAACCCCCCCCCCACCTTCCTTCTATTTTTATGGAAATAAATTAATCTAGGTAGATGAGGATGTCTTCAGTTTCAACACTATAAAGTCATCAACTACTCCTTGAAAGGTACTTCATAATCCTAAAAAGTATTCTGCAGTACTGAAAGAGTTCACACAAGGTGTAAAAAAAGGCAATTCCCCCCCCCCTGCCACGAATTTGGTGATATCCAGATACCAAATCAAAATCACTAAAAAAAAACACTTTGCTCCAGACATTTTATTCAGTATATCTGCTGTGTTTGGCAATGGATAAATATCCTGAACAGCGGGTGGTTTTTTTTAATGTGTGTGTGTTTAGTCTTCTGTACTCCAAACAGATCCTCAAATCTCCATTAGTTTCCTTTATATTGATTACCGGGTAAGTCCAGGATGATACAGAATAAGTTTGGTTTGTGTTTAAAAATCTACAGGCTCTATACCCACAATCCCGCACAAAATTAGGCACAGACATTACACTGGATTGTAGCCAGCATCTGCAAGATGTTAGTTTGAATGCACAAAATGTATTGGTGATGATCAGTGTTCTAAAAGGGAAGTTTATCTTTATATATCCTGCAAACTTCCTCCCACAGAAGCCACTCAACAGACCCACCTTTGAAACAAGATGAGGTCAAAGCAGCCAACTGCAGCAATGCACCGAGCTTCTGCAATAGCTTGTTATACAATATGCTATTTTAATTTTTTTCATAAATCAGTTTTATGAAGCAAAGTTTTAAAAGTATAATCCACATAAATGCAACTAATAAAAGTTTCAGCACCTGCTGCACAATAAATAATTTGATTATGTTGTGACCATTAAGATGGGGTATTTTGGATTCAACAAAATCTGCGTGTTCACTCCCTTTATTTATTTAGGCATTATATCCCACTTTTCTCCCCATTTTGGACCCATTCAGAAACATATTGAGTTGTCATTTACCTCATCCAAACAATTAACACGAACATTCTTGTTGCCTAGTAGCCTTGCAGCTTCTTCAGTATTTCCTAAAAAAATAAAAAAAATAAAATCACAAACTTTGATATTTTTTTTTAAAGCAGCAGCATAATACATACCAAACTGTTTTCAACCTTAAGCAAGATTTGTTTCACTTCAAAGCCTGGGTAACATATCCCGGTAAAGCAGAGAACCAAGTAAACATTATTTTTATCGATTTAATTTAATTTAAATCCCACTTCTTAAACCATAAGCTTCTCAAAGTCCTTAGTACATTATTAAACTTTTTCTTGCTCCAATTCTATTCCCTTCCTCCTGAAACCAAGCAAAAAGGTTATGGTTAAGACAAGTATATCAACTACAGTAAAGGCAGGATGCAAAATCCGATTCAAGGAAAGGTTGATATACTGTATTTCTGCAGGCAGTTCCCAGTCTCTTAACAGCCATGAACCAGTATCTCCACTTGCCATTATTTTGATGGTCCATAATTACAAGCACAGGAAATTCATTCTTATACTTATGTGTCAATAAACCTAGCTAGAAATACTAGCTTGAAAGGCTCATGTTTTAACTTAGAAATAGCATTGTTGCATATCCAGCTTGTACAATAAGGTATCCTTGCTGGTTAGAAACTAGCCTCTGTGGATACTAAAGTGGCTTTTTGCAGATCTAGTTCATATCCTCTATGCAGCCAGTGATATGAATAAATAGGACTGTTACTTGAAACAAAACTTTACTTTTCTTAGCAAGACTACAAGACAAAACAAAGACTTTGTGGCATTTTAAAAGACTACAGTTTCCTCAGACAAAATGGTTTGTAGACTTGAGTTCACTTCATCAGATGCATGACACAGTTTCATTTGGCAGATTAGATGCACAACACATTCTAATTTGGAGGATTATATATATGGGAAAGGAGGATGTTCAAAACTTGAGGGTCCAAAGGCCGTGAGAAGGAGATACACTGTGACATTTTGACATAACATTCAAATGTATCTAAAGTATAACAACACAACTAACAGCAGTAACTGGCGATAATGCCCACACTGGGATAGAAAAGTTTCAGCAATTTCATCTCCTAAAGAAGAAGTCTTCAATCTGTCCATACACAAGACCCCATGAATATGCGATCCACTGAACTGCAAGCACGTGACAGAAGTCACAACATCAGAGTCACATGAATGGAAGTAGAGTCAAAGATGTCAGCTCACTGGTGACAAAATAGGACCATGGACAGCAGACCAAAGAAACTACAGACAGGAAACAGAAACCAGCATTGGGAGATGAACCATAGGAAAAACAACCCAAGGGTAAGTACCATGGAGGAAACCTCTCCACCACCTGGTGGTCTCCAATGCTACTCTGCTACTCTTTTCAGCATGCACATGAAGGCATAGAGATACACATTCACTCCAAGGTGAACTGGTCACATTGTGCAAATATTTTCAGGTTAGAATGTTTTATGAGATCATTAATCCATTGATTCACCATAAATTGGAAGTGACTTGACAGCACTTAACTCTCACACACATTTTACTTTTCCCAATTAGGAAACCTGTTCCCTAATTTAACTTCACAAAAACTTTGTCAAGTCATTCTAACTGGTAGCACACAGCAGTCCAGAGGTCTTGGTTTAGAGGTGCCATTAAAATCTGTTTTGCTTTCCTGTCTTTGAAAACAGGTGTGGGGAACAGAACTTTTTTTCTTACACTTGATTGCATACACACCAACTTTTATTTTCTCTTCAAACAAGACATGTACTGCATTGCTGACAGAGGTCATAAGACAATGACTACTGACCTACACAAAACCTACACAATATGATTTCAATGTAAAATAGTCAGCAAACAGATTTTGCACCACTTTTCATAAACTCAGAGTTCATCCCTTCCTTTAGATTTGAGTGATCACTACTGAGGAAGATAAAACAGATTGTTAGACTCGGCGCGCCAAAATTTATATAGTTTAGCCAATAAAACCTGCTCCCCTTTGAATTTTGAGATTCCCCTTACAACAGGGATGATGGCTGCGTATTTATCCTCTCTGCAGGTCCCTCAACAACGTAGAGCGTTCACCCTGGCCAGATGCAATGCCATGCCGTCCGCCATCTTATTTGGCAGATTCAATAAGGTTTCCCAGCTGGACAGATACTGCCCATGCAGAAAGAAATGTGTGGAATCTATCGCTCATGTTCTCCTGCATTGTAACCTGTACATGGACATAAGGATCACATATTTACAATCTCTTTTAACCAGTATGGGTGTTTGTTCTGATGCTCTTAAGGTAAATAGACTTTTAAGAGATCTCTGCCCGGATATTACAGAGAAGGTAGCTAAGTTTCTCTGTTTGGCTTTAAAGCTGCACCAAAGGTTCTTTTAGAATTCTTATATATGTGCTTTTAACTGATTCTAAAATGTATAAATGGTTCTGATAATTTTATGCCAATAAAGGCTCACTTGACTTACTGAGGAAGATTTCAAGAATTTACTTAATTAATGTAAAACTAACTACATAGCATTTTGTCTATAACTGTGAGAGCTTGCATACTACAAATGCAAGTGGCAACTTTTAAAGAACAAGTAAAAAGAACTGGTCATGAATGCCAGTAACAATAAGAGTTACTTAAGTTTACACTGCCCATCGAAAATGCAGAATAGACTACTATTAATGAATTGAGCATAGCTAAATTGTGGTTTGGAGCACCATTTTCTCTTTTAAATGCAAAAAGCCAGTGCAGATGTAACTGCAGCTGGCTTTATATAATCATTCAGGAATGATTTGTTGTTCTTCAGTCGCACAGTTGAGTCTGACTCTTCGCAACCCCATGGACCAGATCACGCCAGGCCTTCCTGTCTTCTGCTGTCCTCTGAAGTTTGCTCAATTTCATGTTCGTTGCATCTATGACACTGTCTAACCATCTCATCCTTTGCCATCCCCATCTTCTTTGACCTTCAATCTTTCCCAGCATCAGGGTTTTCTCCAGTGAGTGCTCCCTTCTCATTTGGTGGCCAAAGTATTTGAGCTTCAGTTTCATTATCTGGCCTTCCAGGGAACAGTCAGGGTTGATTTCTTTTAGGATTGACTGATTTGATCTTCTTGCAGTCCAAGGGACTCTCAAGAGTCTTCTCCAGCACCATAGTTCAAAAGAATCCATTCTTTGGTGCTTGGCCTTCCTTATAGTCCAACTCTCGCAGCCATACATGACTACTGGGAATACCATTGCTTGGACCATGCAGACTTTTGTTGGCAGGGTGATGTCTCTACTTTTTATCATGCTGTTTAGGTTCACCATCGCTTTCCTCCCAAGGAGCAGGCGTCTTTTAATTTCATGGCTGCAGTCACAGTCTGCGGTGATTTGATGACTAGGGAGCCATGTACCTGATGTTATCTGCAGGTCGTCTTGAAGAAACAGGCTCTGAAGAACTGCTCTTCCAAAAGCAGCATCAGTTTTAGCACAGTGCATCACCACCAGGAACTTCTCAAAGGCTGAAGTCAGTGAACCAATAGCAGACCTGCAGAGATATGTCACCAAGTATCTGGAGAAAGTGGCAGAATCAGGAGCCATAATGACCCTTTCACAGTACTAGCTTGCTTGATACGTTCGCATCAAACTTTAAAGCCAGGCATCTTTCCCGGCATTTGAAAGACATGTTTGCACTCACTGGAGAAAACCCTGATGCTGGGAAAGAGCTTTAGCATAGTCAATGAAGCAGAAGTAGATATTTTTCTGGTACTCTCTTGCTTTCTCCATAATCCAGCGAATGTTGGCAATATGATCTCTCGTTCCTCTACCTCTTCGAAACCCAGCTTGTACTTCTGGCAGTTCTCTATCCATGTACTGTTGAAGCCTAGCTTGTAGGATCTTGAGCATGACCTTGCTAGCGTGTGATATGAGTGCAATTGTGCGATAGTTTGAACATTCCTTGGCGTTGCCCTTCTTTGGGATTGGAATGTATACTGATCTTTTCCAATCCTGTGGCCACTGTTGCGTTTTCCAAATTTGCTGGCAAATTGAGTGCAGCACTTTAACAGCATCATCTTTTAAGACTTTGAATAGCTCAGCTGGAATACCATCACCTCCACTAGCTTTGTTGTTAGTAATGCTTTCTAAGGCCCATTTAACTTCACATTCCAGGATGTCTGGCTCAAGGTCAGGGATTATACTGTCGTGTTGTGGTTGATTTACAGATTACAAAATTTTGTGATTATAAAAACTGGACTACACTTCCCATTGCTCAGACAAGTAGATCACTCACATAAGCAATAATGTATGCTACCAGAACGACTCCTGCTCCTATTTGGTGCACTAGACAGAGTAAAAAGATTTAGATAAGGGAGTCCTGACTCAAGTATATTATTAACCAAATTGTATTCTACCTTTCTGCCCTTACAAGGGCCTCCAAGACGGCCAACAATTTAAAACATACATGATAAAATCACATTTTAAAATTATTAAATGACCCCACCAAACACATATAATTAAAACAATTAAAAGAGAGTTAATATATATATATATAACACATAAAAACATTGGTTAGGAAGGCGGGATCATTAAGAGAATGCCAAATAAAAGAAAGTCTTCACCCACTGGTGAGAACAGCAACAAAATGGGACAGACGAACCTTCCTGGGGAAGGAGTTCCAGAACTTTGGTTGCTGCCAACCACATAGTCTTCAGAAGGTGGAAGCACCCAAAGGAGAACCTCCAAAGATGACCATAGTGATCGGGCATGTTCATAAGGGAGTAACATCCACTCAACCATACAGATGCTTGAACCAGTCACCCTCTCTCAAGTTTAGAGAAAAAGTGGGAATACAAATTGTGATTATATAATAAAATGCAGTTGGAATGACAGGCTTTCTAGGAGGCCACCTATCTATTCCAGGTGCTCACATGAAGCAAAATTATCCAAAATATCCAGATGGAATGACTGCTATATATGTTGGCACTGGAATCCCTCACCCTGTGAATGAATTCTCATAGAAGTATATTTTCCTGAAATGCCTCAGATGCAAACCTCATCTTGACTTACATTGCTACAGGTAGCTGATATTACACAAAGAACTCTGAACACACAGAGTTCTAACAGAACAATGTCTTTTAATGGCCTACAATTCAATGGACAGAGATCTGTACACAATGCTGGCTATCACAAGATCTACCAGAACCCCAAGTACCAGCTATCTGCAGTTAGCATGAGAAGAGGCTGATACTCTTTGTGGAAATGGACTCTGCCCCTGGGAATCAAATATTGTTGCTCTACAATAAGAGGAACAACCCAACCTTATCCTGGGGTTTGTCACTAGCCTATTCTCACTGGTAAATGGAAACAAAGGCCTGTAAAAGCACATTAACATGCCATGAAGGATGTCCACAAGAGAGGTCCAGTAGCAAAAAAGGCTGCCTCGAGTGAAACCTGCCCACATCTCTAGGCCACAGCAGAGCAGACTAGGGGTCTTCACACGGGTCATGGCGGTTGGGTTTTCCGCCTCTCTGGGCCGCTGTTACACTTTCCTCGCCCCTTTACTGCTTTCTTGGGGGGGGGGGGCTGTAAACAGCTGTGTAGCAACATATAATAAGATCGTCTGCGGTGGACATTACTCCAGGCCGGTGCAGATGCCTCGGTGAGCAGTGGACAGCCATTGCAGAGACTGACGAGGAAGCACAGGGGCGGCGAACACAGGAAGGCCTACACTTAGAGACTCCGTCCCCCCACCCCCCACCCTGCAAACGCCACAGACAGGGACTCCTAACCCTCCCCCCATCTTGCTAGGCTTCACTAAACGCCATTATCTCGCTCTCTTCCCTCGCCTGCTAAGGAGGGCCGCTGTATTGCTCGCTACACGCCAAGAGTCTGGAGGAGGCCCCACGACGAACGGCTCAAAGCAGCCCAAGGCCGGTCTGGAGCAATTCGCCTTCCTCATCCCAGCATCTGCATTCGAGGCGAAGAAGCCCGCGCGGGTGCCCTCAAGCCGCAGCTGACTTGTGGCACTGGCCACCCCCAGGGTTTTCGAGGCAAGAGACGTGCAGAGGTGGTTTGCTATCGCCTGCCTCTGGACTTCCTTGGTGGTCTCCCATCCAAGTACTACCCAAGGGCCGACCCTGCTTAGCTTCCGAGATCGGGCATACCTGGGCCATCGCGCGCCTCTTACCTTTCCCAAGCACTTCCAGCAGTTCTTTTTCCTCCTCGTTTAAGTCACCTTTCTTTAGAGGAGCCATGGCTTCCTTTTTAAGCAAAAATATATTCTTATTTCTATCTGCCTGGATCCTCCTCCTCAGCTGTTTTGCAGTCACAGCCCCACTACAGAACCTTTTTTTCTTTTTCTTTTTACATATTCGTGCGCCCCCAGAAACAAACCATCACGCTCAGCGGGTGTGTAGTAACCATAACTCTCCCCCCCCCCTTTTGCTTGCGTAAATGCGCCCGCTCAAGCTCCGCAGCTCATTTTATTGCAACTTCCTCGAGCAGCGCGAGCAGCCTTGAGAAGTGGGAGGGGAAGCGGTTTAAACCACTTGCGTTTAAGAGGGGAGCAACGGCGGACGGAAAAAAGCAACCTGCAGCTTTATATATTTATTTGTATTGTGTTTGGAACATGAATAATTCAGGATCGCTTGCTAATGAAATAGCATGCCTAAATTTTGGAGAAGCCTTGTGGAAATGTTCGTGTTCCCAAGGCTTTCCACTTCACCCCGTGTCACTGAATGGGTTGATACCGCCGGGAGGCGGAGTTAGGGGCAGCTCTGTGTGTCAAAGTGTCTGTCCTTCACTTCTCCATTGTTTAGTATTGCTGCTTACTGCTGCCGGCGCATCTTTACTTCTTCTCCGTAGATAAGAGCAACTACCCCAAGAAAGGTAAAAGCTTATTGGGCGTGCGATGGGTGGTTTAAGTGGCGAGGGAGCCGGCGCGCGGGGGGGGGTATAATAGATTGTAAAGCACGAAAGAGGAAGAAACAGCATGCACGAACATTTCTCTCTTTAGAGACTCTCCTTTTGGGAAGGGCATAAGGATAAAGGTTCTGTCTTGCGCTACCGCCACCCGGCCGTCTAGATGTCCAGCCTACAGAGGCATTTTAGCAAAAGTGTAGTGGCTGCGGCCAGCGTCTGTTTTTCAGTCACCTGCGACCTGGAAATGGGGGTGGGAAAGGGCGGCTTCCCTCTTTGGTGAACTTCGGGAATGGAGTAGGTGGGGGGGGGGTCTCTTCCTTTAGCAAGGTGACAGTAAGACAGCTTGAGAGGAAGGCAATCGTTGGCTTTTTTTTTTTTAGCCGTGAATTTAGATTTCGCCTTTGTGGTGATGGGGGACTGGAGTGGTGTCAGTGGCCCTTGAAAGCTGAAAATCAGCTTTGCAGCGGCCCTTTAGAGTCTGCTTCCGACGCCCAGCTTGGTGGAGCTGAATGCAGAAGGACGTTCTGCAGCAGCTGGGATGGGTTCCGACGTTCCGTCTTTCCTGGAGAGGACCTAGCAGTTTGTAGCCGCTGCAACGCGCGCCCCGAGAATCCTCCTAAAGCCCTGCTCGAGAAGACGGATTTCGCTCCCCTCTGTGCTGCTACTGTTTGCTTAGTTTTGGACCGGCGAAACAAATCTGGTGTGTGTGTGGAAGGAGGAGGCGACGGCTGTGTGCGCAGTTCCATTACAGAGGCGCCCACCAGGCCCATTGGAGTTCAGAAGACCTCAACCTTTGTCGGGGAATCTGTTCTCTCTCTGGCTGGGGAGATCAAGGGTTTAAATGTTCCTCTCTGTGTGTTTTTTAAAGGAGCCGGCTTGTATTAAAATTTGTAAAACAAAAGCCTGAGGTTTTAGTCACTATTAAGGAGCCTTAGTTGTTACAGGTGTTGGGGTCTTGGTTAAAAAAAACCAACTTCATTCAGGCCTGAGTTTTTGTTGTTTCTACTCACACTCTTCTATTAAATTGTTTCATGGCCATTAAAATGATTGCATTTACTTGCAGCATAACCATCGGAAGATAATGTGGCCACAAGTGACCCTTGCTCTTCTTCAGTTGAGGAGTAATGGCATTTCCATTTGGCATTTGTGAGTTATAAAACGGTATCTTTTCTGAATATTAATAAAAGCATTTGACTTAAATTCAGTGTTGAAACGAAGCATACCTTGATGCCAGTCTTGGAAGTTCCAGCATATTCTGTAGAACTTAATTATTATTATTTTGGATCATGCTTAAAAATTGTGTTTAGACATTCTTGTACTCTGTCCGTCAAATCTCAGTCTGGTGGCAGGAGTGGCATTTTGCTCTTCATTCATCACTTAAAGGTGGAATATGATATTAAGCAACTTTTGTGATCTTTGAGGATGAGAAATGGAAGTATGGTAAGTTACTGTTATGGCAGTATGTGCCCTAAAACCTCATCAAGGTTTGCAAATAGCTGCATACTCTCCAAATGTTGAGAACTCTAGCTTTAAATGCTTCTTTATAACTTATCAGTTGCAGAGTTTTCAGTTCTCTGTCCTTAAATTCCTTTGTGTGTGATGTATGAGATACAACTGAAAACCGCAATTTGTTATTCCTTTGTTCCTCTAGACATACTTAAGGTGGCTTATTTATGCCTAGCCTGCGAACATTATTCTGATGGGAAAAGTAGTGTTGCACAGTGCAATCCTAAACATAGGTGCACCCTTCTAAACCATTGGCATTAGATGGTTGAAACTCTGCTCAGGATTGCATTGTGAGATGCTTTACAAAAAGCAAAATACTATGGGATGCATAATCTGAAAGTTGCGCTAGCAGCAGCCGTGCTTAGCTTTATAGAAGAATATCTTGAAATGGGCAGCCCGGTATTATGTGTTTTCATTCTGTTGTAATTGTTTGTTTGGGTTTCTTTAGCCGCTGAAGATATTTTCCCTCTTTTGTTAGCAAGCAGTCGTCAAATACTGTTTATACTTCTGAATCTGTTATGCCTATGGCACAGTCTGTTGGTGCTTGTAGTTAGATGTTCTGCAGACAGGTTAATGGAATTATCCATGTTCTTTGCAATCTGAGTGAACCTTAGCTGAAGGGACACCTGGAGAAAGGGATGCTCTCATTCTCTTTGACTTCTCTCTTTGATTGGGTTTAGGGTCTGCTGCGGTTTAAGGTGTAAGTTGCATCCTAAACAGAGTTATGGGCTTAGAAGGGTGCAACTGTGGCTGGAACGGCGCTGAAAGTTGTTATGTATGTGCCAGTGAGTTACAACTGATTTATGATGACTCCTTTCAAAGCAGGTGAGACGCAGAGATGGTTTACTTTGCCTTCCTCAGCAGAGTCTCCTGTGGTGGTCTCCCATCCAAGTACTGAACCTGCTTAGCTTACAAGATTGGGTTATATCATGAGGCCTTCCCTTCCTGAAAGTCCTTAGGCTACCCAAAAATGCTTGTGGCCCCCCCCCCCATACATGCAGTACTTGTCAAATGCTAATTCCTGTAACAGTTCAAGTTTTTCAGTAGTCTCATTTATTAATGAACAAGAAATGACAAGTGAATGATGTAAAGTGAGGTATGTGTTAATCAGATTGCCCTGGTGTGTTTGGTTTTAGAACGAATGGTTTCCCTGTGTTAGTTATAGCACTGTGAGATGATCCTCCCTCTCCGTGTTCTGTTTTAAACTAAAACAACTTGATGCCCGGTGCAAAGTTTCCAGCTGTTACAGCAGCTGTCTCTCATTGTGCAAGTCTTGGATCTACATAAGACCGTCTTCTAAAAAGACGGGATCCAGTGAGTAATGTTGAATATTGAGGGATAAAATGGTATGAAGTACGGTTTACCAGATTCTGTTTAAAGTAAGTGATATGTTACTTGGCAAATATAAGCATGACCTGCTGTTGGAATGAATTCTATCTATGAGAGGACAAATATAGATGTTCTGCTTGTTGTCCTGCTCATTTAAATGTGGATAGATTAAATCATTGTTTATTCTTTCATGAAGGCCTGAAGCTGAGGGGGAAACTGTGCTTGTAACTGCTTCTCCCCACCCAGAGTATGTAGATCTTGTAAAATGTAGTGCTTGTAAAATGTAGTGCTTGAAGTAGTAAGTAATACATTAGCAGACGTTTCTGTGCTGGGCAAAGCCAAAGAATATTCAGGGGTCTTGAAGAAAATAGGAATTGAAACTACTTTCTGTTCCAAAATGACTGTCTTCTTTAAAGCAGTAAAAAGTAAGGACTGTTTGTTAATTTTGTAAAAAAATGTAGTGAGTTTCCAGACCAAGGTCATTGATGTCATGCTACAAATAGAAGCTAGTGTGGGAAGAACATATAATCCAAAAGCTTCTGGAATATACACATGGCTAATTTTTAAGTACCATGCCATCCAGTTCACTGAACAGAAATGGAGCTTTGTGTTTGGGTTGTGCATCTATTTTAAGGTTACCTTTCACTGTTTCAAAATTAGAACATAATCTTTTCATTTGGAATAATGCCTTCCTGAGACTTTGGTCCTACACTCATTAGGTCACTTTTGTAGTAAGAGGCAAAATATGCCTTGGGTCTTTGATAACAAGAACAACAGTGTTGAAATGCAGAAAGAACAGAAAGATGGAACTGGATTTTTATGAACAGATCTAGCATCATAAATATGTCAAAGCTGTTTTCGTTGAGTGATACCAAGTGGTATTTTAAAGAACAGCTACATTCTACCCATTCAACAGTCTCTTCCTTTACATGTTACTATTAAGCAGAATGTCTTATTGATTTTCAGTGGAATGTACTTCCAACTTAAAGCATTAAGGATTAGTGTGCTGGATGGATTTTTGTCTGGGTTTTTAAAATTAAATTGTTTACTGAACTGTCTCAATCATGCTTGAGATTTAAGTATCCCCCATACTTGTTCTGCATAAGTGCTTCTTTCTGACCATTTCCTTGAAAGAAGTCCATTCCTTATCAATAGGGTTAAAAAGAAGCCATCTCTACACAGTGCTGCAGTCCATCACTGATGGGCAGCAGCGGCAGCAGTAAAATGTCAGCACCCAGGAAACCAGATTGTGTAAACAGATGATTGCTGGTATGAAAGCAAAATGCTTACCTACCGGATAACTACTCTGGATAAATATCGTTTTAAAAAAATGTTTAAAATGTCAGAATTTAAAATCTAAATTTCATTTATTTGTAGTAATTTTCTCTTATCAGTCAGCAAAAGCATGCTAAAACCTGCACTTATCCAAATCTATATGCCTTTATAGAAAATTGGCCCTTGGTTTTTAATGTAATTCTCCAAGGTTGTGTAAGATTTAAAAAAATCCACATGAGAGTTTAGTGGTTCCACACTAGTGAAATGTAGCCGTTTCCCTTAGTTATACATTTGTGGTAAATTAAACTGATGGTGAGTAACAACCCAGGAAGATTTTGTATCAGTGTGGGGATTTGAATTTGTTCCCTAGTCCAGCATTTGGTCCTCTATGCCCCACTGGCTGTAAAAACAAACAAACACCGAACTGGAGACATATTGCATTTTAAATATCATGGCATTCCAATCTCAAATTATACCCTGTTTTCCCGAAAATAAGACCTACTCAAAAAATAAGCCGTAGCAGGATTTCTATGCATTTGTGGTATAAGCCCTAGTGTGACTTCTTGAGAAAAAATAAATATAAGACAGTGTCTTATTTTCCGGGAAACACGGTATGTCTCAGAAGCAAGGCTTGTAAAAATGTCAATTTCATGCTGAAGGAAGTTACCCTTAATGAAAAATACAACAAATTAGATAGCATGGAAGTTGAACACCTTTTTCTAGCTCAGACTACTTGTGTAGATGCTCAGAAGGGTTTCTGGCTCTTGCTCTAGGACTGACCCCTATGTGAGTTGAAGTGTGGTGGGAATGTTTGATTGCTGCCTGTATAAAGGATGAGAAACTATTGTGCACACATT